TTTATTGTAATTGTACTTGTACTAATTGTCTTTCTAGGCTGTAAACTCCACAAGAGCAAGGACCCATTCTTGTTCACTGCTGAATCCTGAGAACCTAGCCCAGTGCCTGTCACATATTAGACACTCAATAAATGTCTGAGGAGTAAACAAGTAAGGAAATGGACTTGAATAATCTATATATTTAACCACACAATGAAATGATCACCCACTTAAAAATTGTTAAAAGGTTTAGGCGCCAGCCCTGTGGCCTAGTGTTGGGTTTGGCATGCTCCACTTCAGCGGCCCAGGTTTGGTTCCCAGTGCAGACCTACACCACTCATCTGTGGCTGTGCTGTGTTGGTGACTCACATACAAAATAGAGGAAGATTGCACAGATGTTACCTCAGGGCAAATCTTCCTCAAGCAAAAAAAAAAAAAAAATGTTGAGAGGTTTAGCTATTTTCAAGGAAAATATATTCTCAGTTCCAATTTTATAAATGGTGATTAAGTTCCTAGACTAGCTTACAAAACACTATGAGCCACAAGACACTTAACTGATGAGAGGATGGCTGCTTATTTCCCTCTCTGCAATGACAACAGAACTTTCATTCCTCTAAGTAGAAGAAAACAGGATTGAAAGGGCACTGCTTTCTCTCCACCCCATCAATAGTTCCTCCTCCAGGAAAGTGACTTATCTAATGGCTAAGATAAGGATAAAGGTCAATATTCCAGACAGGCCCCACCCCTGAGCTCTCACTGGCTCTCTTGGACTTGTATGCCTTCAAGCAGAGAAAGTGCTCCTTTCCATTCCAACTGCTAGGAGGTCAACTCCCTGAGACAGGACTTTCCCTCCCTGCAGGGGAGACGTGCAGGTTTTTAGGTGCCACAGTTTCGTCTGGGTAGGTAAATTAAGAAGGAACAGAATAAGCATGGGTCTAAGCCAAATTCTCCAATCCAGCTTTACCAGAAATGAAAATTATACTATTATTTTAATAGTATTTTAATCCTCATCTGGCTTCTTGAATCTGCTCTCAATTTGACAAGAATCTGGAGTGGGGGTGATGTAATGAGCACACTGAAATGCTCCAACATGAACAACAGTAACCCCAGGCTGATTTCTGGGTCCTAGAAGAAGAGTAGCAGAGGAACAAAGTGGGGCAAAAGGGAAGAGGAATGGAATGAAGGAGAAGAAGGATTCTTCCACTTTCCCTATGTAGAATTTTTCTTGGTCAAAATGTCTAAATAAGGTGAATCTGTCTTTATATCCTGCAAACTTCCCTTCCAAATTGTTTCTTAAATTTTTTTTTCCCCCAAAGCCCCAGTAGGTAGTTGTATGTCATAGTTGCACATCCTTCTAGTTGCTGTATGTGGGACATGGCCTCAGCATGGCCAGAGAAGCGGTGGGTCGGTGCGCGGCCGGGATCCAAACCCGGGCCGCCAGCAGCGGAGCGCACGCACTTAACCGCTAAGCCACGGGGCAGCCCCCACATTGTTTCTCATCTTTGCTTTTCTTTTCTCATTTTCCAGACCTCTCATGTCCATTGAAAGACGTCCATTTTCAACACCCACACTTTTAGAAATAGAGCAAGTTTTGCCCAAACCTGCAAAATGTTCTGTGATCCCTTACTGCCTACCTCTCCTATCCCTCCTCAAGTCAAAACTCCCATTTCCAGGAAGCGCAGTGATCAGGAGAAAAGCAATCTGATTAAATCCATTCACTGAAGATAGAATCACTGACTGAGAGTCCTAGCCTTTGAACAGTGCTGGAGATATATATGTAGTTTTTCATTATATATATAGTTTTTTATTTTTATATATTTTATATTTATATACATATATATTGTTATACAAATGTAACTACAGTAATTTCAGAGAAAAGATGAAGATGCCTAGAAGTCTATCATAAAGAAGACAGGTCTGCTTTGACCAGCATTTCCCAGAGATCATATCCCTAAAGTTGTTCCCACTTTTCACTGCCACCTACTTTCAGTCCTTCTCAATAAGTGACACTAAAAACTCCAGGGGGCAGAGAAGGCCAACTTGGGAAAGCATTTGCAGCTACAGGATATCTGTACATCCATGGGGTAAATCAGTAATAATCAATAACAGATTGGATAGGTTATATTTTCAATATGTTTGATAATCATTCCATTGGCTAAAACAAAACAAAACATATATTCAGGTTATATATTGGAATTATTAGCCTCATTCTACTAAAGAAGTCAATGAGGCATAAAAGGGTTAAATAATGTTTCCATTGTTTTATAACTTAGTAGTTGAAGAGCAGGATTGGACTGCTCTTCACACACTTTTAATCAGCTGCTTCTCCATTATTTCCACCTAGAAATCTTTAATTTTATTTTCTATAACTTTTCTGGAATTTGGTAGTATACTTTTGAACAGCCATATTAGAGTAATAGAAAAATGAGCTTGAATTCCAGGGAAGTGTCATGACTTTTTCAGTGGTTTTTGCTATGAAAGACCTGAGGCTAATGCTGAATTTGTGTACACTCAGAAATTAACCACGAAATAAGCATAGCAGCATTCATTCAGCTGTAAGTGGCTCTTAACGTCACTGCCATCAAAAATATTTATTTGCCACCCACACATGAATATAACTGTAATAAAGACTACACAAACTTAGGAAACTAAGATCTTCCACTTTGCCTGAGAAGCATATGAAATTTTAATTAATTGGTGTTTGCTATTTTTTATTAGTTTGTTTAGCTAGTCACCAAAATAAATTATTTGTATTTAAAGTGATAACTGGGACTTTTCAAACCAAGCATAGGATATATGAAAACGCTGTGTGTGGTCTCTCATGACTCTTGACTTGTCATAAACACACCTTTGTGGCTTTTCTCAAAATATCAGAAAAGGGAAAAGAGCAGTAAGATGCCCAAGAATTGACAGCCAGGGTATTCTGAAAGACTTAAATGGCACCTCTTCACCTTTCCTCAAGTAGAAGCACTATGTTGCTTGGTAAAGATTGGTTGGCTTTTCAGTGAGAGCTAGCCCCCAAATCTAGGATGTTTTTCTATAAATGAATATAATTCAACAACAAAAAGACAAATAACCCAATTAAAATATGAGCAAAAGATATGAATAGACATTTCTTAAAAAAAGATATACAAATGGCCACTAAGCACGTGAAAAGATGCTCAACAACACTAATCATTAGGGAAATGCATACCAATACCACTTCACACCACTAGGATGCCTCTAGCAAAAATTAGCCAATGGAGAAGGACAAGTGTTGCTGAGGATGTGGAGAAATTGGAACCTTCCTATTCTGTTTGGTGGGAATGTAAAATGGTGCAGCTACTTTGGAAAAGTTTGACAGTTCCTCAAAAAGTTAAACATACAGACCCAAAAAAACTGAAATCATATGCCCTCATAACAACTTGTACACCAATGGTCATAGCAGCATTATTCACAATGGCCAAAAAACAGAAACATCCTTAATGTCCATCAACTGATAATGGATAAACAAAATGTGATATTGTGGTACACCAATACAATGGAATATTATCCAGCCATAAAAAAGAATGAAGTACTGATAAACGCTACAACATGGATGAACCTTGAAAACACTGTGCTATGTGAAAGAAGCCAGACACAAAAACCCACATACTGTATGATTCCATTTATATGAAATTTCCAGAAGAGGCAAATCCATAGAGGCAGAAAGTAGATTAGTGGTTGCCAGGGGGTGGGGTAAGGGAGAAAAGAGAAGTGACTACTAATAGGTACAGGGTTTCATTTTGGGGGGATGAAAATGTTCTGGATAGTGGCGACAGTTGCAAAACTTTGTGAATATCTGAAAAGCTACACTTTAAAAGGAGGAATTTTATGGTATGAGAAGTATATCTCAGTTAAAAAAATTGTTCAATTATAGAAAGAGATTACATATATATGTAACATACACGTAAAGGTTATATACGTATATATACACATATATGTAATCCCTTTCTATAACATTTGGGGTTTTATTGAGGTATACTGCACATATATAAAGAAAAGAATGAAAGAACACGGTGACACTGAGGCTGAAGCAGTGGATTTGGGGTGTGCCCGAGCCCGCCTCGCAGCGTCCCCACCCGCATCACCCTCCGCCCATCACTCAGCCACCAGCCGCCCGGTGTCCAGGGCCCGGGACGACCCTCCCGCGGTGGCCGCTCCGCTGCGGGCGCCCAGAGCCAGCCTGCCCTCCCGCCCGAGGAGGAGCGTGCGCGGCGGGCCGGGCTCGAGCGCTGCCCGCGGGCCCGGAGGGGGCACGGCGGCTCGGGGGGCCCCGGTCCTCCCGCACCCCGGCCGCAGGGTCCCGAGCCCGGGTCCCGCCCCACCTCCCACCTCCAGCACCTGGGATGCGCCCGAACCCGGCGCCGCGGCCAAAGCCGAGACGGTCCCTCCATGACCACCTGCCCCGGAGCGCGGCGGCGGCGGCCGGTGAGGAGAGGGGACCCCGCCTCCTCAGACCCGACCGAGGCAGCCGGGGCGAGGGAGGGAGGGGCATTCACCTAGTCCCCCCGCGGCGGCGGCGGCGGCGGCCGCCCAGGGCCCACGGCTCCTTCCTACTCGCGCTCCTCCTCACGCCGTCGCGGCCCCGCGCTGACAGCCCGGGAGCCGGCGCCCG